GTTGCCTCCAGAAGTTGTGAATGCCCCAACACTGGAAGTCTTTAAGAAGATGTTGGATAGCCATCTGTCTGAAGTGGTGTAAGGTTTCCTGCCTGAGCAGGGGGTTGGAATGCCTTTCAGACCTCAGGGAACACTAAATTAATAATTTTAAATCCCAAGGACCACTACGGTGAATTTTTAAAAAAGATAAATAGTATTTAGTGCAATGTAAAAAATATATAAATAATTTTTCTGCGGACCACCAGTTGGTGGCCACTGCACTAGAAGACCTCCAAGGTCCATTCGAACTTGGTTATTCTGTATTCCGATACACCTTAAGTCTACCCAGTGGGTGCTTCTACACAGATGTCTTTTGTAGACTGCACATCTGTTTTGTCTTTTCTCGCTTTATCAGAATTTCGGGTGATAGAGAAAATGGCAGAGGGGAAAACGGCAAGAAGGTGACAAAACAGAAAAACCAGATTGAAAGGGCCACTCAAATTGTAAGGAGTGGGTCAGCGTGAATGCCTGTGTCAGGTTTCCTCAAGATGCCCTAATTGATTCATGAGTATCGAGCCAAGTTTCAATGCAAAACTAGTCATTTATTAGGAGCACCATTAGGCAAGGCCTCTTTTGCAATTAGACCTGAGCTTTGTTTGAATTATAGCTGAACCTTGCCTCTGTTCCTCCCCTCCACTCAGTCTGTGTCATAAATCACATTCCCCAATGAGGTGCCGCCCCCCAAGCCTACTACTGCGGTAATCTGAGCTCCGACTTTAGCCGAAAGTATGCATGGAATGCGCCCCCCCCTCCTCCCGTCCCTCACCATGACAACTTTAGGAGTTGACGGCCTGATTAAAGATTTAATTGGAAACAACCTCTGGGCCAGTGTTTTGTCCATCCTGGATGCGAGAACAGCGTTTGTAATCTGCGTGAAAACCATCTGTATGTGTTGTGTAATATTCTCAGCTGGGATGGACCACAAACTTTAGTGCTTTGCTCCGTGGCCTGCCGTAAATTACTCGGATTCATGCTTCCCAAGTGAACACAAGAAGCCTAGCTCCCTCTTATGGGCATTAGTGCGTGTTCTTTTTTAACTGCACAATTGCTTCCTGCTAAATTGAAAGTCAACAAAGCCAGCTCAGGTTATGTTCCAACTCATGGAACATAAGACAATTCCTTTCACTTCCTACACAAGAAGGAGAATTTTAACAGTAGGTAACGAGTTACTTTGAAAGCCCAACTGCTTTCAGAATAACAGAGTTGGAAGGGACTCTTGGGGGGAGGGGGGGTCTTCTAGTCCAACCCCCTGCTCAAGGAGGAGACCCTACACCATATCAGACAAATGACTGTCCAATCTGCAATTTCTTAGCTGTTAGAATTGATTGTGTCTATTGTTGATTGGGCGGATTTTGAATCCAACATATGTGTGTGTGTGTGTGTGTGTGAAAGAGAGAGGAGAGAGAGAGAAAGAGAGAGAGAATGAATGGAAGGAGAGAGAGAGGAGAGAGAAGAGAGAGAGAGTGGAGAGAGAGAGAATAGAAAGAGAATGAATGGAAGGAGAGAGAGAGGAGAGAGAAGAGAGAGAGAGTGGAGAGAGAGAGAATAGAAAGAGAATGAATGGAAGGAGAGAGGAGAGAGAGAGGAAGGAGAAAGAGGAGAGAGTGGAGAGAGAGAGAATGAATGGAAGGCCTGAAGGAGAGAGGAGAGAGTGGAGAGAGAGAGAATAGAAAGAGA